GCAACCCTCGGTGTTGCTCCCGCGCCTTGCTCAACCAGTGAGCGGGAACCGGTCTGTATGTGGGATCCGAACCCTCGGGCAGGAGCGCCGCCGCGCTTCCCAAGCGGCGCACTATCCAGTGCGCCACCGGGCCAGCCCCAACTTATGAGTATTATGTGGTATTTTTCTTTCTGTTCCTGACTTCACTTAACATAATTTTCTCTAAGCTCATTCATGTTGCTATGAATGACAGAATTTCATTCTTTTTTATGGCTGAGTAGTATTCCATTCTGTATATATAGCATATTTTCCTTATCCAGTCTTCCATCAATGGATATTTAGGTTGGTTCCATATCTTGGCTATTGTAAATAGAGCTGCGATGAACATGGGAGTGCAGGTGATGACTTCGACATGATTTCCATTCCTTTGGGTATATACCCAACAGTGGGATTGGTGGATTGTACAGCAGCTCTATCTGCATTTGTTTGAGGAAACTCCATACAGTTTTCCATATGGCTCCACTAATTTTCAGTCCCACCAACAGTGTAGGAGGGTTTCCCTTTCTCTGCATCCTTGTCAGCATTTATTATTCTCTATCTTCTTAATAATCGCCAGTCTAACTTGGGTGAGATGATATCTCAATGTGGTTTTGATTTTCATTTTCCTGATGTTTAGTGATATTGAGCATTTTTTCTTGTGTCTGTGGTCATTTGTATATTTTTATTTGAGAAATGCCTATCAGCTCCTTGGTCCATTTTTTAAACAGGTTACTTGTCTTTTTTATTGTTAAGGTGTTTGAGTTCCCTGTATATTCTACAACAGCATACTTTCATTTACCACATTTTCATCCTTTGTGCTATTGCCGCCATGTATTTTGTTTTATTTCTATATATATTGTTATATTTGCTTTAAACAGTCTTTTAAAGACATTAAGAAAAACAATTAACAGAGCTAAAAGACAACCAACAGAGTGGGAGAAAATATTTGCAAAATATACATCCGACAAAGGATTAATATCCAGAATATACAAGGAACTCAAACTTTACAAGAAAAAAACAAGCAACCCAATTAAAAAATGGGCAAAAGAGCTAAATAGACATTTCTCTAAGGAAGATATACAAATGGCCAACAAACATATGAAAAAATGCTCAACATCACTCAGCATCTGGGAAATGCAAATCAAAACTACACTGAGGGCCGGCCCGGTGGCGCACTGGAGA